AATATTAGATCCTTCACACATCTTACATGCTACACTGATGATGTTCTATCCTTAACACATCTTACATGCTAAACTGATTGTATGAGATCCTTAACACATCTGACATGCTACACTAATGGTATGATGTCCTTAACACATCTTACATGTTACACTGATAATATTAGATCCTTAACACATCTTACATGCTACACTGATGATGTTCTATCCTTAACACATCTTACATGCTAAACTGATTGTATGAGATCCTTAACACATCTGACATGCTACACTAATGGTATGATGTCCTTAACACATCTTACATGTTACACTGATAATATTAGATCCTTAACACATCTTACATGCTACACTGATGATGTTCTATCCTTAACACATCTTACATGCTAAACTGATTGTATGAGATCCTTAACACATCTGACATGCTACACTAATGGTATGATGTCCTTAACACATCTTACATGTTACACTGATAATATTAGATCCTTAACACATCTTACATGCTACAACTGATGATGTTCTATCCTTAACACGTCTTACATGCTACACTGGTGGTATTAGATCCTTAATACATCTTACATGCTACACTGATGATGTTCTATCCTTAACACATCTTACATGCTACACTGGTGGTATTAGATCCTTAATACATCTTACATGCTACACTGATAATATTAGATCCTTAACACATCTTACATGCTACACTGATAATATTAGATCCTTAACACATCTTACACGCTACACTGATGATGTTCTATCCTTTACACATCTTACACGCTACACTGATGATGTTCTATCCTTAACACATCTGACATGCTACACTGGTGGTATTAGATCTTTAACACATCTTACACGCTACACTGATGATACTACATCCTTAACACATCTTACATGCTACACTGGTGATACTAGATTCTTAACACATCTGACATGCTACACTGGTGGTATTAGATCCTTAACACATCTTACATGTTACACTGATAATATTATATCCTTAACACATCTTACACGCTACACTGATGATGTTCTATCCTTTACACATCTTACACGCTACACTGATGATGTTCTATCCTTAACACATCTGACATGCTACACTGGTGATATTAGATCCTTAACACATCTTACACGCTACACTGATGATACTACATCCTTAACACATCTTACATGCTACACTGTGATACTAGATTCTTAACACATCTTACATGCTACACTGATGATACTACATCCTTAACACATCTTACACGCTACACTGCTGATACTAGATCCTCAACACATCATACACGCTACACTGATGATACTACATCCTTAACACATCTTACACGCTACACTGATGATACTAGATCCTTAACACATCTTACATGCTACACTGCTGATACTAGATTCTTAACACATCTTACACGCTACACTGATGATACTAGATCCTTAACACATCTTAC